AGTCGCTGCTGACGGGCTCTTTCTTCGCAGTCACAGTCTCCTGCTGACCCCAATCTCTGGGGTTGGGCCACCAGCTGGATCTGTGACGTCCTACTGTCCCCACCCCCGTAACACCAGCCTGCCTGGGCCGGAGCCCCTTCCTTGGCTCACTGTCCACCCCGTGCTCCCAGCCTGCCCCCATCCCTGGGTCCCACCTGCCCCGGTACCAGCCCCCCTGCCCCCCACCGCGCCCCCGACCCTCCCTCTGTCCTGAGCTGTAAATCCTGGCAGCCGCCGGCCTCTGACGGCGTCCCAGCACCTGGCCGGCCGCTCCACCCCGTGCCGGTGTCACAGATCCCCAGGGGCCGTGCCGCCCTCGACCCTGCAGAGCGGGTGGCAGCCCTGACGCGGTCCTCGAGCTCCTCCGGGCCTTCCCCGCTGGTCTCACTTCCGAACGTGTCAGGGTGACGGGGCCGGGGCCGGTTCAGGGACCTGCAGTCGTAACCGCCCCACCTTCCAGGGCGCCCCCCGCCCCGTGCTTCTCTGTCACCAACGTTGTGGCCAAGAACTGACACACAACCCAGCGTCACCACCGCGTGACGCGCCGCATCCTGGGCCCCTGACCCCGCGAGGCCCATCCCGTGGGTCATCCTGCCCTGCTCTGTCCTACAACAGGCTCCAGCCACTCGCCCATCCAGGGACACGCTCACGGCCCCACAGCCCAGTGCCCAGCGGGTCTCCTGTGCTCCACGCATGCAGACCCCCCTGTGCTCCAGGTGTACCACGAACTCCTCAGAAACCAGTTAACAGGGGCAGCCCAGGTGGCTCAGGGGTTTAGAGACGCCTTCAGCCTGGGGCATGACCCCAGGGTCCCGGGATCAAGTTCCAAGTCCGGCTCCCTGCATGGAGCCTGCTCCTCCCTCCGCCTGTGTCTCTGCCTCTCTCTCTCTCTCTCTCTCTCTCTCTCTGTGTGTGTGTGTCTGTCACGAATGAATAATCAAATATTACAAAAAAAAAGAAAGAAAGAAGCCAGTTAACCCGGTCCTAATCCACACATATGGGTTGAACTGTGTGCCCTGAAAAGATGCACTCACATCTTTTTTTTTTAGGATGTTATTTATTTATTTGACAGAGAGAATGAGGACGCGTGTGAGCAGGAGAGCAGTGGGGGGGGAGGGGGGAGCAGATCCCCCACCGAGCAGGGGTCCGACGTGGGGGCAACCCCAGGACCCTGGGACGGTGACTGAGCCCCAGGCGCCCCAGCATATGTTCAAGTCTGAACACACGAGCCTTTGCACGTGGCCTTTGGAGATGGGTCACCTCAGACGTGCAGCCGAGGTGAGGCCCTGCCACAATGGGGTGGGCCCTGACCCCCCTGACTGGGGTCCTGATGAGAGACCCCAGCCGTGGATGCAGGGGAAGCCGGGGGCCGGTGGAGACGACACTGGAGCTGAGCGTCCACGAGCCACATGTCAGGATCGCCATGAACACAGACACGGGACGCCATGGGGACCCTCCCACGGGCTCAGACAGGGAGGGCGACCCGCGCTGGGGCTCAGGGGTGGGGCCTCGACCCCTGGATGGCGCCCGGTGTCTGTGGTTTTAAGCCAGCAGGGTGCGGACCCTACGGCAGCCACGGCGGGGAGTGGGTCCTGTCCTGCAGGAGCTGTGGCCGTGGGCCCGCGGTCATCGGCCTCGGGGGAAGGACGTCAGCAGGGGCCACAGGGAAGGGGTCGGCAGCCCACGACCCCCGAGGGGCTCCAAGGGTCCTGAGCTGCTGCTCGGGGCGGTGGGCAGGCAGGTCAGCAGCGCAGAGTCTGGGTCCCCGGGGCCCCAGAGCGAGCTGTGGGCTGTGCGCCGACACTTTGCATGGGAAACAGCACTGGTGCCAGCAGGGCCCCTGCCCACGGCCGCACTGTCGCTCTGCCCGACCAGGCCGCCCGCCCCGTTTGTGCAAGTGACAGGCTCGTCCCCAGGCCCCAGGGGCTCGTGGCCCAGGGTCCGGCCTGTCCCCCCCCACAGTCGGCCCCTGAGTCGCCCAAGTCGTCAGGGCCACGGCCCCTCTGCTCTCTGGGCAGCTCTGGGAAGGCCCCCCTGCAGCAACGGGCGAGCCCCGGCACCCCTCAGGCCTGCACTGGCCAAGCTTCCTCTTGGACACTAAGCCCGGGCACCCCGCAGGAGTGGGCCAGGGTGGGTGGCCCCTGGGGCTGCTCTGTCCCTCCTCGTACCACCTCGCAGGAGGGAGAAGGGCACAGCCGGGGTTCGGGGCCCTGGTGGGGCTGCCCGTGACCCCAGTGCCACCCTGCCTCTTGCACGAGCCCCGTGCGCCCCGCGGTGCAGGAGCGAGGACGCTGTGCCCTCCAGCCTCGTCAGGGCTGGGTCCTGGCGGTGTCCTCACTCAGGAAACACGTTTGGTCCAGCACGGTGTGCGGGCGGCCTGGCCCCACAGAGGCAGGAGGGCCCGCCCAGCCCCCGGGCTGTCTCCATGTGTTCGGGGTGGGACACCATGGATGGGGGGCCCACAGCCCACAGTCCTGGAGGCAGATCCGGGGAGGTGGGAGCCCACCTGGGTCCTCACGGGAGGCAGGCGTAGGGCGCTCTCTGGAGTCTCTTCCAAGGGCAGCAACCCGACTGGTGCGGGCTCCGGGACCACGGCCTCGTCACCTTCCAGCGACTGACACCCCGAGCTTGGATCTCGAGGCGGATGGGAAGGCCTAGAAACCTCCGGGACCGTGGTCAGCGACCGCAAGCGGCGCACAGCCCTCCGAGAGTGCGGGCTCTTGGAAAAGCAGCCACATGTGCCACCGGCCAGGAGCCAACACCCCGGAAGGCCCGCGTGTGGACCCAGGCCGACAGGCAGGTGCACGCCCCGTGGGACACACGCAGGACACAGGCCGAGCACCCGGGGCCCCGCACTTGGCGCTCACGCCTCGGCGTCCAGACAGACACGTCCTCCCGGACATACACCCGGAGGCTGAGGGGCTCGCTTCTCAGTGCACAAGTGTTTCCATTCTCTTTCTTGGTTCCAGGAGTTTTTAAACTTGCAATAATAAATGTGTATTATTTTATAAACAGAATAAGATCAATAGGGGTTGCTTTCTGGGAGATTTGCCGCCAACCAGCGTCCAGGGGCCGCCCAGGTTTCCAGAGCGGGAGGCGCGGAGAGTCTGGAGGGAGAGGCCAGGAGGGCCCGCGGGGCAGCAGCCCGGGCACCCCGCGAACCACAGCCCGGCCTGGCGCCAGAGATGCCCCACCAGTGCCCCACCGACACCCCGGGGGGGCCAGCAGGTGGGGCGCATGGCCGTGGGGCACAGTCTGGGCACAGCGGGTGCAGACGGGCGCCAGAGGAACGAGCTCCGCGCCTCCTCAGAGTCCTGGGCCCTGGGCACCCCCTAACTGGCCCGCTCTGCTCCCCACGGTCTCCCGGGTCCCCTGTCATGCTCAGACCCCCACCCCACCTCCCGCAACTCACTTGTCTCCTCTAGACCCCAGGGACCCACTCCTGGGTTACACCCTCCCCACATCCCAGTCCCTGGGATGTCCAGTGTGGCGGTGGGGAGGGGGTGGTCGGGGTGGGAGGAGTTGGGGGGGTCGGGGTGGGGGTGATCAAGGTGGGAGTGTGGTCGGGAGGGGGTGTGGTCGGGGACGGGGTGTGGTCAGGGTGGGGTGCACTGGGGATGGGTGCCGTCAGGGTGGGGTGAGGCGGGGGTGGGGGAGCCCATACACCGCTGGCTCCCCCGTGATCCCCCGCCGTCGTGGGGGGGGCGTCCAGGAGCAGGTGGGTGCAGAGCGCAGAAAGCCCGGCCCGGGACCAGGGAGGCCGGGAGCTGCCCCGGGGCTGCGGGGCTCTGAGGAATGTCTCTGAGCTGAATTAATGCACGAAGGAGTGACTCCAAAGGGACTTTAATGACATCTGCTTTTGAAATGAGGGCAGTGAATGCCGCCAGGGCGGGGGCTCACTGCCCACTGTGGTCCCACTGACGTCCCCACGGCCAGCTCCCTGTCCTCACCACCTCAGGCGCGATGCCTCGTCCATCTCAGCTGGGGCTCCAGGGCCACGGCCGGAAGGGGCCGCACCTGTGTTAGAGACACGCACATCGAGTCCGTGGCTCAGGGCCCCACGCCTTCTGGGCCCTCGTGGGTCACTGCACAGGGTGAGCCAGGGTCACAGCGTGTCCCCCCGCCTACCCAGGACAGTGGCCCAGGGTCACAGCGCATCCCCCCCACCTGCCCAGGACAGTGGCCCAGGGTCACAGCACGTCCCCCCCACCTGCCCAGGACAGTGGCCCAGGGTCACAGCGCGTCCCCCCCACCTACCCAGGACAGTGGCCCAGGGTCACAGCGCGTCCCCCCCACCTGCCCAGGACAGTGGCCCAGGGTCACAGCGCGTCCCCCCCACCTGCCCAGGACAGTGGCCCAGGGTCACAGCGCGTCCCCCCCACCTACCCAGGACAGTGGCCCAGGGTCACAGCGCGTCCCCCGACATGCCCAGGACAGTGGCCCAGGGTCACAGCGCGTCCCCCCCACCTGCCCAGGACAGTGGCCCAGGGTCACAGTGCGTCCCCCGACATGCCCAGGACAGTGGCCCAGGGTCACAGTGCGTCCCCCCACCTGCCCAGGACAGTGGCCCAGGGTCACAGCGCATCCCCCCCACCTGCTCAGCACCCCCCATCACAGCCACCAGGACAAGGTGCTAGAACCTGGGAGCAGCCAGGAGAAGAAACCCGAAGAAAACCCCAGGACCCTCCCTAACTCCACATCCACCCGCAGAAAGATTCCAGCCTCTGGGGCAACTTTGAAAGGACGGCCGAGCCTCCTAACGACCAAGCCTGTGACGCTGGACTGAGGGGCATGGACACATGGACAGGTGGCTCTCGGGGTCTTTAAATGTAGGCGCTGGCCAGAGCGGAGCCGCGGGCGTAGGAGCAGTAGAGCAAGAACAGCGCGACAGACGCCCAGGCACAGAGGTGCACACCCGCGGGGCTCAGGGACGCCGGCTCCTCCTCCTCCTCCACTTCCTCCTCCTCCTCCTCCTCATCCTCGGCGCCCAGCTCCGGCTCCCCAGCGTCATCATACTCCTCCTCTGGGGTCGGGGTCCCGGACACTGTGGGTCCCTCGCCTTGGTCCGCCATGGGGACGGCGCCGATGTCCTCATAAATGCCTTCCAAGGGCAGACTCCCCCACATCCTGGAACCTGTGAAGGCCACAGCTCAGCCGTCCAGCAGACACACTCCCCCTGCCGTGCCCGCCCGCCGGCCCACGGGTGCCCTGCAGCAGCCCGGCCCCTCTGCTGTGGCCGCACGCAACGGCGACACGCCAGCACCAGGGCACCAGGGCCACCCGGTTCCAGCCCATGTGCCGCACGAGGCATCGGGAGCCCATGGAGGCCCCTCAGCAGCTGAGCAGGGACGGGGTCCCCCGACCCTGTAACTCATAGGCCCTAGAGCAGCACCAAGAAGTAACCACACGGTGGGGTCCAGGTGGGACCCGGCTCGCCGAGTGGGTCCCAGAACAGGAAGGTCCTCGATGGGCTGGGTCTCAGAGCACGTCCCCGCCTCCCCCGCCTCCCCCCAGAGCCCCATGTCGACCTCCCAGCCACGGCCACCTACCCCTGTGGGCTCTCCTGCCGCGGGACCACTGCACCCCCAGGACCAGGGAGACGGCCACCAGGAGGGTGCCGAGGACAAAGCAAAGCATCATGGGCAGGTTCCCAGCCTTGAGGGCAGGCGGACGGGCCAGGGGGGCTCCTGTGGGGACAGTGAAAGGCGGGGTCTCCCCTGCGCGCCCATGTGCCTGGGGTATTGTGACCTTGGGCCTGGACCACCTGAGGCGCTCAGGGTGCGGGAGGCCCCCAAAGGACAGATGGGCCTTGCGCTCCTCCCCCAGAGGTGGCCCTGAGGTCACGGGGCAGAGGTCAGGAGGGAGTGGCAGGGGAGGGTGGGGGCCAGGAGGAAGGCCACACTGTTCCCGGGTCAGAACACCCAGCTGGTACAAGAGCGACCCCAGAGAAGGGGCTGGGAGGGCCTGGGCCGCGGCCCGGGCATCCCGAGGGGCTGACGGGGGCCTCGGCGCCCACGGGAGACTCCCCAGCGCCCCTGTGAGCCGACGCAGGGCCCCAGGCAGGGCCACACAGGAGGGCGTGAGCCGAGCCCGAGCAAGAACAGCCTACCTGGTGTGTGCGCCAGAGCGGGCGGCAGGACCAGGGGTCCCCTGTCACCTGCAAGAGAAGGGGAGTGGCCTGAGGCGAGGGGAGCAGTGCAAGCCCCAGCCGGACCTCGCAGCCGGAGCCCGACGCGCACAGGAGAGCCACCGGGGCAGCTCCCAGTGGGCACCCCTCCCGGCGGCCACCCTGGCCCCCAGTCAACCTGCCACCGCCTGTCCTGCCGCCGCCCACTCACGGGAGCAGCGCACACCCGCGTCCTCCTTGTGGCCGCAGTCTCCGAGTCCCCAGGGCTCCGCGGGGCAGCTCCACAGGGATGCCTCGCTGCCCCGGCACCCCACCTCATCCAGCCACACGGGCCCTGAGCCCGGCCCGAAGGTAGCTCCCGTGGGTGCATCCACAGCTGGCCCGCAGCCCAGCTGGCGGCACACGACCTCTGCGTCCGCCAGGTCCCAGGAATCGTCACACACGGTGCCCCAGGAGCCGGCGTGCCAGAGCTCCACGCGGCCTGAGCAGCCGTCCTCGCCCCCACGCACACGCAGCATGGCCTCCCCTGGGAAAGGGGGCTGTGGTCACCGCAGGGCGGGACCAAGGTGAGGAGCGGACAGGGGGGCGAGCAGAGGGCTACCTGGGCAGCTGTGGGTGGACGAGCAGTTGAGGGGCTCCCCGGAATTCTGTGTCATCTTCTCTGACACTCCTGTAGGATTACACAGTCAGTAGGATTTCCCATGTAAATGCCCTGGGAAGCTTCTGAATGAAGTTTGTAGAGCCCACAGGACCCTCCCTGGGCCCTGAGTCATGGAGCGAGGGCAGCCCCTGCAGGTGGCTTGTTCCTGAACCTGCAGGGTCCCACCTGCACAGGTGATCCAGGCCTCCTCTCCAGGGGCACAGGACTGTGGGTGCCACGGCGCCGAGGGGCACTGCCACAGCGTAGAGTTTCTCAGCCTGCGGCACTCGATGTTGTCCACCCAGGAGGGGCCCGAGCCAGTGGGGACCGGCTTGTTCTCCAGCCAGCCCTGCTCCCCACAGCCCAGCTGCTTGCAGATGATGGACATGGAGATGTCCTGCAGGGCGTTACTGCACACGGCGCCCCATGTGCCGTTGTAGAACACGTCCAGCCACCCAGCACAGCGCTGGGTGCCACCTCGCAGCCTCAGAGCCACTGACTCTGGAAGACAAGAGCACTCGGGCCAGGGGACATCTCTGAAGGCCAAAGAGTGTCCCAGCACCAAGATCAGTGCCACTCAGGGGCATCCGACCCGGGAGCCCCTGCGTGAACCTTAAATCGGTTGTGCATCCCCATGACAATGTCCCACCCCAGAGATGTAGGGGGCGCTTAACCTCAGGTGACCAGGGTTAATCCCCAGCTGAAACATCTCAGCAGGTGTCAGTAATTGTCCAGAAATCCATCCTTGGAAACCATTCAAAACACAGAAATAATCCAAGTACTAAATGAAAAAACTGCGCAACCAAGAATTCTTTATCCAGCAAAGCAGTCATCCAAAATATGAGAAGAGATAGAGCTTCCAGGACAGAAACTAAAAGAATTTGTGATCACTAAACCAGCCCTGCAAGGAATATTAAAAAGAGATCCTTTAAATTAAGAGAGAGCCCAAGAGTATGACAGACCAGGAAGGAACAGAGACTTTACAGGTAATAATACAGTGACACTAAATTCATAACTTTCAATAGTTACTCTGAATGTCGACGGGCCAAATGCCCCAATCAAAAGACTCGGGAGTGTCAGACTGGATTTTTAAAAAGACCCATTGATATGCTGTCTGCAAGAGACTCATTTTATGTTTTTTTTTTTAAAGATTTTATTTATTTATGAGTCAGAGAGAGAGAGAGAAGCAGGCTCCATGCAGGGAGCCCGATGTGGGACTTGATCCCAGGTCTCCAGGATCACGCCCTGGGCCAAAGGCAGGCGCTAAACCTCTGAGCCATCCAGGCCTCCCAAGAGACTTATTTTAGACCAAAGACACCTCCAGGTCCAAAGTGAGGGAGTGGAAAACCATGTGTCCTGCTAATGGTCCTCAAAAGAAAGCGGGGGTAGCAACCCTCGTATCAGACAAATTAGATTATAAACCAAAGACTGTGATAAGAGATGAAGAACGGCACTATTTCATAATAAAAGGGTCTATCCAACAAGAAGGTCTAAAAATTGTAAATATTTATGTCCCTAACATGGGAGCAGCCAATTACATCAACCAATCAAAAACAAAATTAAAGAAGCACATGAAGAAGAAGAAGAAGAAGAAGAAGAAGAAGAAGAAGAAGAAGAAGAATATCAATAATAATGAAATAACATAAAATAATAATAAAATAGAGGACATTAACACCACTTTCACTGCAAAGGACAGAAACAGAAGAAATTCCAACCACAGTTCAGGTGTAGTGACCTGAAGGGACCCCTGCACCCCAGTGTTCACAGCAGCCAGGCCCACAATAGCCCAACTGTGGCAAGACTCTTAATCACAGGAAACAAACTGAGGGTCGCTGAGGTCGGGGTGGGGGTCCCTGGGGGGCGGGCAGGAAGGAGGGCTCAGAATGGCATGAGCGCCGGGTGTCATAGGCAACTGATGAATCACTGAACTCTACCTATATGCTAATTAATTGAATTTAAATTGTTGAAAAACCAAATATAAAACAATCCTTGTGTACTAGGTGATCAACTTAGCGGTGACTATAAAAAATTTAAAAATTAAAAAAAAAACAGGAATGAGCGCAGCATTCCATGTTCAGAGACAACATCAGCCCTGGCCGGTCATGGCCCGAACATCATCACATTACCCTCAAGCGGCGCAACTCCGACCACAGGGAGACGTATTAAGGAGACTACGATATCACCCATAATAAAGCACAGGAAACTCTTCAAAATTATGCGAGTCCAGTTTACGTCAAAAATACGTCTACAGGATAAGTGGAGAAAGTAGGATACGAATTGCATATGACAGGGTCATAACAAATTAAAATTTAAATAAGCTTTTATTTTTTTTTAATTTTTATTTATTTATGATAGTCACACAGAGAGCGAGAGAGAGAGGCAGAGACACAGGCAGAGGGAGAAGCAGGCTCCATGCACCGGGAGCCCGACGTGGGATTCGATCCCGGGTCTCCAGGATCGTGCCCTGGGCCAAAGGCAGGCGCCAAACTGCTGCGCCACCCAGGGATCCCTAAATAAGCTTTTAAAAGACACTCCAGGGCAGCCCCGGTGGCACAGCGGTTTGGTGCCACCTGCAGCCAGGGGTGTGATCCTGGGGACCCGGGATCGAGTCCCATGTCGGGCTCCCTACATGGAGCCTGCTTCTCCCTCTGCCTGTGTCTCTGCCTCTCTCTCTCTCTCTCTGTGTCTCTATGAATAAATAAATAAAATCTTTAAAAATATAAAAATAAAAAAATAAAAGACACTCGAAAGGGGATCCCTGGGTGGCTCAGCGGTTTAGCGCCTGCCTTTGGCCCAGGGCATGATCCCAGGGTCCCAGGATCGAGTCCCACATCGGGCTCCCTGCATGGAGCCTGCTTCTCCCTCCTCCTGTCTCTCTCTCTCTCTCTCTCTGTCTATCATGAATAAATAAATAAATCTTTTTAAAAATAAAAATATAAATATAAAAAAAATAAAAGACACTTGAAGGAAGTGCATCCATGATATCCATGATAGGTGACCAGAGTGGCCACCAAGATCTCCTGCCTGCACCCACACCCCTGGAATTGGGTTGGCCCTGGACGTCAGCCAACTGAGCAAACAGTGTAAGAGTGACCACAGCCATTACGGGCCTGGGGGGCCCCTGCACCTCGCCGGCCTCTGCTCTTGACTCCAGAACGCTGCTGCCATGCGGAGTGGCTGCAGCAACAGGGCCCCCCGCCCCCCGCAGCTGAGGCCCCTCAGTCAGCAAGGGAGCACTGCCGTGGGAGCCCCTAAGGCGAGCCAGCCAAGCAGAGAAGGACGTCCAGCAAGAGCGGTGCTGCACCTGGCAAAGCAGTGACGCGCACACCTACGGTCTCCAGAGCCCCTCCCCCGAAAACAATAAATAAAAGCGACAGGGAAGAGCTAAAATAATGAGGCCATGGGTCACGTTGGAAGACACACGATTGCAACAGAGCCATCCTCTGAGACAAAGCGGAGGAAAACTTTCCTAAAGCAAAACCAGGACTGGAAGGGATGAAAGAAGCCACAGTGAATGCTCGGTTCGGCCGTGGGGAGCAGCCCCAGCAGACCCCTGGGGCTCACACCCCCAATAAGGCACCACTGTCACCCAAGAAGACCACACCCCTGCGTGGGCAATGCAGAGAGTGTCCCACAGCATGAGCTAAGACACAAAGACGTTCAAACACCACCTGCAAAGCGCTGGAGAAAGCCCAGCCACACTGAAATAGGGGTCCCAAGAGTTTGAGACAGAGACCCTCCCACTCACTGTGAGGTGAGCCTGTGAGCAGGGGTGACCGACCCCAGGCAGAGCTGGTCCAGCCCGCCTCGGCCCCGCCCCCCGCAAGTGAGAGAGCCCAGGAAGAGCTGGCCAGGCCCCCAGCACCTCTGAGCAGACCTGCCCCCCTCAAGGTGTCCCCCCAGGTGAGAGACCCCAGGAAGAGCTGGTCAGGGACCCCTGCACCTCCAAGCACACCCCCCCCCACAGGTGAGAGAGCCCAGGAAGAGCTGCCCCCCCCCCCCGCACCTCCGAGCACACCCGGGACCCAGAAGCCCGCGAGACCCCCCCCCCCAGGCCGTGTAAAGGTGCTGGGCCCGCGGCATCGCTGCAGCAGGAGCCCCCAGGCCCACAGGCGAGGCGGGGGCTCCGGGGAGGGACAGCGCGACCCCCCCCCCCCGCGGCCCCGGACACGCTCGTCGGGACGGACCTGAGCAGACGACGCCGGCGTCCTCCTTGTGCCCGCAGCCCTGCGCACCCCCCGACGGGCACCGCCACAGCGCGGACTCGCGGCCCCCGCAGCGCAGCTCCCGCATCCAGATGCGGCCCGAGCCGGCCCCGAAGGGCGCGGCCCCCAGGGCGCGGAGGGCGTGGCCGCAGCCCAGCTGCCCGCAGACCACCTGGGCGTCCCGCAGGTCCCAGCCGTCGTCACACACGGTGCCCCACGCGCCCCCGAGCAGCACCTCCACGCGCCCCGCGCAGCGGTGGGGCCCCCCCGCCAGCCGCACGCGCCGGCTCCCTGCAGAGAAGCGAGTCAGGGCGGGGAGGGGGGCGGGGGCACCCTGGGGGGGGGCGGGGGCGGGGAGCCCTGGGTCGGCAGGGGGGGGCGCCCTGGGTCAAGATCGGGGGCACCCTTGGTCGGGGTCGGGAGCGCCCTGCGTCGGGCGGGCGTCGGGGCCGGGACCCACTCACGCGAGCACACCACGCCCGCGTCCCGGGAGGCGCCCGCGGGCACCAGCGCGGACCTGGACACGTTGCACTGGGTCAGGCGGGTCTCGGTGCCCCGACAGCGCGCGCGGCTCAGCCCCACCGGGAGCGCGCGGCTGGGGGGGGGCGCGTCGTAGGCCCGGTGGGCCCGGCCACAGCCCAGCTGCGCACACACCACGGCGGCGGCGCGCAGGTCCCACGCGGCGTCCAGGACGCGGCCCCACGCGCCGTCCAGGGAGACCTCCGCGCGGCCGTCGCAGCGGCTGTGTCCGCCCCTGAGCCGCAGGGCGTGCGGGAGACCTGGGGGCACGGAAGCCGCTCGGGGTCGCGGGGGGCACCGGCCTCCCGAGGAAGCCCCAGGGCGCCCGCGCCCACTCACCTGAGCACACGGCGGCCGCCGCGCTCCCCGGGGCGCAGGCCCGGTTGCCCAGGGTGCTCACGGGGCAGTGCCACAGGTAGGGCTCTGTGCCCGCGCAGTGGAAGGCGTCAGGCCAGATGCCCACGTCCCCGGCCCCGAAGTGGCCTCCGGGGGGCGTGGCCTCTGCGCTGCCGCAGTTGAGCTGGTGGCACAGGACGGTGGCATCCGCCAAGTCCCAGTGGGCGGCGCAGAGGGGCGCCCAGGCCCCCTGCACCTGCAGCTCCACGCGCCCCTCACAGCCGCCGCTGCCGTTCACCAGCCGGAACTCTGAGGAGCGTGGGGGCTGTCAGCGTCCCCGCTGCCCCTCCAGGCCCCGGGTCTTGGTGGTGGCCCCAGAGCTGTGCCCTTCCCTGACCAGCTCCCTGCCCGCAGCCTCGGCGCTCGGTCCCACCTCTGTGCACCTGTGCCTGCCGTCGGGGGGCAGCCTGGGGGCACCGTCCTCCCGTCCCCTCCCTCCCCCCGCAGGAACACCCCCCTCTGGGCAGGAGGCTCCGTTAGGAACCCAGCTTAGAGCCCAGGAGGCTCCGTTAGGAACCCAGCTTAGAGCCCGCAGGGGGAGCGAGTGCGTGGCTGGCAGGGGAGGGGCAGGGCTGAGCGTCAGGGCCCTCCCGGCCCACCTCACCTGAGCACCTGAGCCCAGCATCGCGGCGGTGCCCACACTGGTGCCCAGGCCCCCGAGGGCAGTGGAACAGCAGAGACTCGTTGCCCACACAATGGAAGGCCTCAGTCCACACGGGCCCAGAGCCCGGGCCGAAGTGCGCGCCGCCGGGGGCCCACACGGCCGAGCCGCACCGCAGCTCCCGGCACACCACGTGGGCCGTGGCCTGGTCCAGGTCAGCGTCACAGACGGTGCCCCAGGTCAGGCCCCGCCTCACCTCCAGACGCCCGGCGCAGGGGTGCTCGCCACCCTCCAAGCGGGCTTCCACGTGTCCTGGGAGGACACACAGCCTCAGGATGAGTGTTCGCGGGGGACACTGCGGCCACACCCCGGACCACGGACCACGGGGCAGACCGCCTGTGAGGGCAGCGGGCTGCAAGGCCTGGGCGGGGGTACAGCGGGGGCCCATGCACCCTGCACCCAGAATGGAGCAGGGGCCCCCATCACTTCCCGAGGGCATAGGGCAGAGTCACCTCCTCCAGGCGCCCACCTGGAGGTGTCACAGCCTCTGCCTGCCCAGGCGGTGGCCTCCAGGCCCCGTGTGCCCCTGCAGGCCAGGCCCAGGCACCCAGGAGGGTGGCCTTCCTGCTTCCCGGGGCTCGGGCAGGACCCAGGAGGGCCACCTCCCTTGGCCATCTGAGACGGGACTGCGAGGAGGCCGGCAGCAGCCCCTGACGCGTGCTGCACGGGCAACAGCCCCGGCCCGCGGCCCCTGAGCCAGGGCCGGCACACGCGGGCGCCCACTGGGTGAGGCACTGCCCGGGCCCCTGTGCTCCCGCCTCAGCCTCTGCCCAGGCTTCACAGCTTTCCGGCCTCTCCCCTCTCCCAGGTGCCGGGGGGACGGCCTCACCTGAGCACACCACCTCCGCGTCCTGCTGGAAGTCGCAGCCGCCACGGAGATTGTTGTTGAGTCTGCAGTTTCGAATGGTGGGCTCGGTGCCCTGGCACGTCATGTACCGGCTGCTGCCAGCCGCGGCCCGTCGGGGGGCCTGCAGCGCCCGCCCGCAGCCCAGCTCCCTGCAGAACACCGTGGCCTCCTCCTCGTGCAGGCCGCACAGGCGGTCCACGCCGTTCACGTTCCTGATCTCGGGGAGCCCGGCGCAGGGGCTGCGGCCCTTGACCAGCCGGATCTCCCGAAAAGTGCCGTCTGGGGAGCACAGGCCACGGGACCGAGGTGGGGACGCTGCCGGCCCTGTGGCCTGCCTCCGGGATCAGCCTGCCCAGGCCCACGACGGTCCCTGCCCCAGGGCCGAGCCTGAGACCAGCCCTGCTCCTTCCAGGGGTCAGCGCAGCGCTGACAGGGGTCCTTCCTGAGCAGTCACAGGGGTCCCCCCGCTCCCAGGGCCCCCCACCCAGAGTGTCCCCGCTCACTGGGGCCTGTGCCTGACTTGGAGACCGTGTGATGACCCAGGAGCCTGCGTGTTCCTCCAACGGGGCCCCTGAACCCCGGAGTGGGCCGGCTTCAGGCACAGGCTGCTGGGGCACAGGCCCAGAGGCAGCAGGAGACCCTGCAGGGGACCTCCCAGGGAGAGCATCCCCCAGGCCGAGACACCGAAGGCGGAGGGCGCCCGGCCGGCTCTGGGGCACAGGGGGGCGCCCACCCTGCCTGTCTGGTTCCTGCCCCCCATGTTCCGCAATCGCCGTTTCCCGAGTCTGTTCACTCTGCGTCCCCCTGGGAGAGAACAAGCTCGGGCGGCGGCACTTCTGTCAGGTTCCGTCCCAGCCGCACCCTCTGCACGAAGAGCGCCTCGCGAGCAGCATTTGGTGGCTGGGGAGGACAGGAGCCCTAACCGAAGGGCGGAAGGGGTCTGGTCCCCACGGTCCCCCCCAGCGGGCCTGCTCCCTGCGCGAGCCCTCCTGCGCCCACTTACTCGCGCACAGGGCCACCACCACCCACTTGTGAGGGCAGGCGGTCTGCGTCCAGGCCCCGAGGCTGCAGTCCCAGAAGGAGGGCTCGTCACCCCTGCAGGACACGTTGTGCAGCTGGGGCTGCAGCGTCTCCCCGAGCAGTGGGACATACTTGGGTGCGCCCACGGCGGGCCCGCAGCCCAGCTGCCTGCAGACCACGGATGCCTCCGCCAACGTCCACTCCTGGTTGCACACGTGTCCCCACTCCCCGTCGCGTCCGACCAGCACCACTCCATCGCAGGGGCTGTGTCTGTACCCCAGCCGCAGGTGCGGCGGCCCACCTGCAGCAGGATGGAAGGACAGGCCGGCCTCAGAGGCACGCGCCAGGGTAGAGGCAGGCCTGGCCTGTCCCAGGGCTCGCAGTCCAGAAAGGTGAAGGGTGGGGTCACACAGAGCCCAGCCCCGCAGCACCTCGCCCCCGTGCACAGCCCAGTCCCCCACAGCCTCTGCTCCACCAAACCTCTGGGGCCCCTCGATGTGGGTCACCCCCCCAAGCGAGGAAGTCCCCTGGGCAGGCCCTTCCCACCACCCTGCTCCACTACCCGATCACCATCTCCCTGCTTCCTGCAGAGGCCCTGCGGCCCCGACTCGCACCCCACCTCTCTCTGTGCCCTGCTCACCCCTACCCACCCACCTGGGCCGCACCTTCCCTTCCACTTCCACTCTCCAAGCCGGCCTCCTCGGGTCTCGGGGTCTCAGCAGCTCCCTAGACCCCAGCCAGCAGGCCCAGTCCACAGGGCCACCGAGGTGTCCCTGAACCCCTCCTAGGCCTCTGCCCCCTGGTCTGTCCTGCACCGCCCCTCCCGCCTCCATCCTCAACCCCCCTCCGGGGCTGGTGCTGGAGAAACACAACAGCAGCCACAGAGGAGTCTACATCCCAGCCTGGGCCATCCCACGCCACCTCCAGGGCCCATCCTAGACCCACAGAGGGAGGAGACAGGGGCAGACTCCCCACACAGGTCCAGAGGAAGGCATGGCCCTCGACCCGCCCCTCTCGCCGACACCTGAGGGTCTCCACTGATCCCCAGCACGCTCCCCAGAGCCTCCTCATCGCCTTCCCGCCACGCTTCTCTGGACATGGACGTGCATGGCTGTCTGCATCTTTAAGATGAAACAGGATGCCCTCCAGCTTGCACACTGCCCACAGATGCCCGCCACTACCGCCTGGGGCGCCCCTGCTCTCCAGCTCTGGGGTCACCTGGGCTGGGCCCTGTATCACCAGCAGTTTCCAGGGCACTGGACACTGCTACCCTCTCCTGTGACCCTGCCCAACACATGCACACATGCACACCCGGGCTCTCACACACTCTGCCACACCCAGTCCGAGGCCGCGTGCCACGGTGTGCCGTCCCCCCCAGGGGCTGCTCTTTCACTACCAGCCTTTCCGTGCTGTTCCCTCTGGGAGAACAGCTTCCTGCCCACGATTCTGGACCCAGCAGCACCCCACGCCCCTGTGCCCCCCACCTTGCTATTGTAGCTCCCCGGAACTGTGGCTCTCTTCCTTGCCCCAGCCCGAGCTGAAGGTCACCCTCACTGCCAGGTATAGCCGGCTTTCCTGCTCCCCGCCAGCCCAGCCCCAGGGACAGGAGATGGAGCAGCCGCTCGGCAGACGCATCAGCATCTCCCGTCCATGGGGGTCACTGGGACCAGACACTAGCCATGTCCCCTCATTCCATCCACTCTCTGACACAGACCTGCACCCCAGGTTCACCCTGGAGTTAGAGCTGCTCAGTCGTTAGAGCAAGCGTCTCCAGAGGTACACGCTTAGGACGCCACAGCTCTCCTGTCCCAGGATGACCCATCCACCTCTGGGCTGAGCAAGAGCCAGAGAGACACCCCAGGGTCCCAGGCTCTACACACCTGCTGCCTTCAGAAGCTCCCGTGGATGAAAGAAGGAAGTACTTACCAATGGGGACTGACTCGAGAGTGAGGAGAAGGGTCCCCAGTCCCAAGGGCCAGAGAACTGCCTTCATAGCCCTGTGGTCCCCAGGGCCCAGCCAGCTCCTGCCGCCCAACTGATGCAATGGCAGACAGTACAGTCCAAAATCAGATATACAGAAGTAGGAGCCACCAATGGCCTCCAGGGGCCAATGGGGACAGTGAGGGCCTTTCCAGAATGTACCAAGGGTCTGTCTCTCTATCTCTAAGCAGAGCAACCAGTGGCCTTGGCAGCCCTGAGCTTAGCCAGATATCAGGGAGGGGCCCAGGCTGTGGGTTTCCTCCCACACTGGTAACTGCTGACAGGGTAGCTTGACTCAGACCCCACAGTCAGGCAGGTGGGCCAGTCTGCCCACAGCCACAGCAGCAACAAAGCCCTCCACCCAGCCCCAGAGGCTTTAGCTCCCCACCACAGACAGTGACACAGTGACACCAGACTTCTGGGGACCAGCAGGGACTGAGTGGAAGCCCCACAGCACCAGAAGAATGAGACAGGCCAGAGCAGCCTTGAAAGGCCCCTAAAAACTGTCATTGGAACTAAAGCCACAAAAAGATAGAACCTACACGCTGAACCTAAACAGGGTGACTACAAGAGTGTCCTAACATCACAGTCCAGAATGCAATTAAAAATCATGCATCATCTGAAAAATCAGGAAAACAACAGATGATCAAATGCAATGAACTGACACAAGATGAAGTTGATCTGGCAAGGATTTTTAAAGACCCGTCATAAAAATGCTTCCACAATATATTAAAAACTCTTTTGAAACAAATGGAAAAAAATAGAAAATCTCAGCAAAGAAATAGAAGTTATAAAAAATGAATTACTGGTGAGGATGTGGAAAAACTGGAACATTCATTGGAAAATGGTGCAGTCACTTTGGAAGACAGTTCGGCAGTTACTCAGTGTTAGACATAGAGGTACTCTGTGACCTGGCAATTCCACTCCTAGCTACGTATCAAAGAGAACTTATTATGTCCACATGAAAACCAGTACATAAACGTTCATAGCAGCAATGTTCATAGTAAAAAAAAAAACAGAAACAAACTAGATGTACATCAGTCAATGAACGGATAAACAAAATGTGGTCTATCCACAGCACAGAACGATATTCAGCCACTGAAGGGACAGAGGCTCTGACACCTGCAACAATGGAATGAACCGTGACAGCATCGTGCTAAGGGAGGGTTGTCAGACACAAGAGACCACCTGTGTGACTCCACTTATATAAAATATCCTGATTGGGCAAATCCATAGACAGAGAAAGTGAATCAGGGGTTGCCAGGAGCTGGAAGGAGGAGAAAATTGGAAGCGACTGCTAATAGGTATGGGGTTTCCTTTGAGAGAGATGAAAATGTTCTGAAATCAGCCAGTGGTGATTGTTGTATAATTCTGAGTATACTAAAAACTACTCGGTGATACACTTTTAAAGGATAAATTTGGTGTATGAATTATATTCTCAATAAAGCTGTTATTCTTTTTTTTAAGATTTTATTTATTTATTCATGAGAGACAGAGAGAGAGAGAGGCAGAGACACAGGCAGAGGGAGAAGCAGGCTCCATGCAGGGAGCCTGACGTGGGACTCGATCCCGGGCCTCCAGGATCACACCCCGGGCGGAAGGCGGTGTTAAACCACTGAGCCACTCGGGCTACCCAAAGCTGTTATTCTTTTAAAGAACCAAATGGAAATTATAGAATTAAAAATATAATAGCTGAAGTTTTTTTAAAACTCATTAAATAGGGGCACCTGGGTGGCTCAGTCTGTTAAGCATCTGCCTTCAGCTCAGGTCATGATCTCAGGGTCCTGGGATCGAGTCCCACGTTGGCTTCCTGCTCAGCAGGGAGTCTGCTTCTGCTTCTCCCTCTGCCCCTCCCCCCACTCTCTTTCAAATAAATAAATAAAACCTTAAAAAAAACCCTCACTAAATGGACTCAAGAGTAGAATGGAAATGCCAGAGGTTAGCATCAGTCAAATTGAAGACAAATACATAGAATTTATATAATGTAAACAGCAGAGAAAAAATAGACAAAAAATTAATACAGCCTCAGAGGACTCTGGGACAATAAGAAAAGAGCTAATATTTCCATCACTGAAGATCTGGAAAGGAAAGGAGAGAAAAGAATGTGAAGAAACAATGGCTGCAAACTTCCCAAGACATAAACTTACAGATACAGGAATCTGAGTAAATTCCAAACAGGGAAAATCCAAAGAAATTCACACCAAACCATATAATAATTAAAATTCTGAAAACTAAAGATTTAAAAAAAAAACTAAAAGCAGCCATAGAAAAATGACACATTATCTATAAAGGAAAACCAATTTGAATAACAGCAAATTTCTCATCTGCAATGGAGGCCAGTAGGTAACAGGAGACCAGTTTTTAAGTGCTGAAAGAGAGGAGTGTTAAGCCTGCATTCTACATCTGTGAAACCATCCTGCAGAAATTAGGGGAATAAAGTCATCCTCAAATGAAGGAAAACAAGAGAACTTCTTGCTAGGAGACATACTGTTACATATGGCTAAAGAAAACCCTCCAAACAGAAAGCAAATGATAAAAAGCTGGGACTTTCAGAAAGGAAAGAGGAACAGTGAAATGGTTAAAAGTAGAGGGACCATAATAGACTATCCTTCACTTTGTGAATTTCTTTGATCACATTTTATGTTATAACATTACCTGAAGTGGTGCTCAGTGTGTACAGAGGATAATTCCAGATGGTTCTGTGTTTAAGGTGGAAGGGTAAAAAAAAAAAAAAAACTAAATATAAGTAAGGTTTCTATATTTCACTTGAAGTGGTATAATGGCAACACCAGAAGGCTTTAGTATATAAAGTATATATACATCTATATAATTGTTTATGTATATGAAATTGTTAACTGTTATATACATAACATATATAATATAGTATTATATAGTATAGTCTTGAATATGTTATATATAAGGTAGCCAATAAGAAAATTATACAAAACTCAAAAGCACTATAAATACATCAAAACAGAAAGCTGTTAACATAACTCAGAGGGAGAGAAGGAAAAAAAGAAACAGATACATGAGAAACAGGGGGAACAAACAGAAACTAAAATGCAAATGGCAGATATAAGCCCTAACACACTAATAATCATTTAAATGTAAATCTTCTAAATATACAAATTAGAAGACAGATGTTGTCAAAGTGAATTTTTTAAAAATGACCCAAATATATGCTGTTTTTTATTTTTTTTTAAATTTTTTTATTTATTTATGATAGGCACACAGTGAGAGAGAGAGGCAGAGACACAGGCAGAGGGAGAAGCAGGCTCCATGCACCGGGAGCCCGACGTGGGATTCGATCCCGGGTCTCCAGGATCGTGCCCTGGGCCAAAGGCAGGCGCCAAACCGCTGCGCCACCCAGGGATCCCTATATGCTGTTTTTTAAAAAAAGATATTTTATGTGAGCATTAATCAATAAAAGTGGGAGAGGCTATATTGCTATCAGAGAAAGATTCCAGATAAAAGAAAATTACTAGAAAGAATGGGGAACGTTACATAATAATAAAAAGGATGAACCCACCACAAAGAACAATCCTAAATGTGTATGCACCAAACTACAGATTCAAAATATATGAAGCAAAAATGGATAAAACTGAAAATAGAAATAGACAAATCCACAATTCTGATTGGAGACTTCAAGATGCCACTCACAGCAATTGACAGAATTACTGGAGAGAAAACCCACAAGGTCTGGAAGAACTGAACACCATCAACCAACAGGATCGAATCCACATTTGCAGAACACTCACACAACAGCAGAGCAATACACATTTGTTTCACACCCACCGGACATTCACCAAAATTGACTATATCCTAGGTCATAAAACAAACCTTAACAAACTTAAAAGAATTTAAATCATACAGAATATGTTTTCTGACCATAATAGAACCAAACAAGAACTCATTAACAGGAAGACAACAGAAAAATCTGCAAACACTTGAAAATTAAACATACTTCAAAATAATCCATGGGCCAATGATGAAGTCTCAAAGGAAATTTTAAAAACATAAAGAAGTGAATGAAAATGAAAACTACATGTCAATATTTGTGGGATGCAGCTAATGTAATGCTAAGAGGGAAGTTCTTAGTGCTTAATACTTACATAACAGGAAAGATTTCAAAACTATAAGCTAAACTGCCATCTCAAAAATCTAAATAAAGCCAAAGTATGCATAAAGAAAGAAATAATAAAGATAAAATCAGAAATTGATGAAGTCAAAAACAGGAAAACAATTTTTAAAAATTAATAAACGAAAAGCTGGTTTTTTGAAAGAAAAATATAATTAAAACTCTAGCAAGATCGACAAAAGTTAAAATGACCCAAATCAATACCTAGAATAGAAAAAGTGATATCTTGAAGACCCAACAGCCACTAGACGGATAACAGGGAGGGGCGCCTGGATGGCTCCAAGGTCCAGCATCTGCCTTTGGGCGTGATCCTGGGGTCCTGGGATCGAGTCCCACATCAGGCTCCCCAGTGGAATCCTGCTTCTCCCTCTGTCTGTGTTTCTGCCTCTCAGGTCTCTCATTAATAAATAAAATCTTTGAAAAAAAGAAAAGGGATAAGAGGGAAATCCTATAGACAACTTTATTTTTTTTTATTGAGTTCAATTTGCCAACATATAGCATAACACCCAATGCTCATCCCATCCGGTGCCGCCCTCATTGCCCACCACCCAGTCACCCCACCCCCTGCCCACCTCTCCTTCCACTAACCCTTGTTCATTTCCCAGAGTTAGGAGTCTCTCATGTTCCGTCACCCTCACTGGTATTTCCCACTCATTTTCCCTCCTTTCGCCTTTCATCTCTTTCACTATTTTTTATATTCCCCAAATGAATGAGAACATATAATGTTTGTCCTTCTCTGATTGACTTACTTCACTCAGCATAATACCCTCCAGTTCCATCCACGTCAAAGCAAATGGTGGGTATTTGTCGTTTCTAATGGCTGAGGAATATTCCAGTGTATACACAGACCACATCTTCTTTATCCATCATCTGTCGGACACTGAGGCTCCTTCCAC